GAAAGTATATTCCTCTCTCAGGATTAAGAGATATATATTAAAATAAATTTCATATCAGAGAGAATATTAAAAAGAGAAATACATAAAGCAAAATATCTGAAATCATGGATGTTTAAAATTTTTCATATTAAAGATTAAGTCAAATCTTACAAAAATGGATTTTTCTCAATTATCTTAATTCGTCTATTTTTACAGCAATCTAATGTTTTCTTTTTCAAGACTCACATCACCTGTTTTAACTCTTTACGATGCTTTATAGAATATTTATTATTATCTCATAAGAATATTCTGACGTGATAACTTTTTATCATTTAACTATAATCTTCTATTGGACAGTAAAAATCTCTCTTCTATACAGACAGGTAAGCCACACGAAGAAGTTAAGTAAAAAAGTGTTAAAATAAAAAATTTAAGTCGTAAAGGGTTAAGGGAGGATGAAAAACACGATCGACGGATGATCGCTCTTATTGTTCTCATTATTGATTACTCTTGTTGTCCTTATTCCAATGATTACCGGTTACTAGCATGATAATTACAACTCATAATTCATGCATATATGGATTCTAGATGAGATAACAAGTGCCTAAGTATCTATAACTTCTTTTGGACCAGAGAAAGACTTTTATCAACTTAGACAAAATAAACGATTATTATTGCGAATTATTATTGCGCGAGAAGAGAGAGCTACGAATCGAGTGTGTTGTGCACTACTGATGACATGTTGTGACGATATATATAGATATTATTATTCATATTTGTAATTGTGTACATAACACCGTTGCGCGCGTAATTTCCGCTGAGATGCGTAAGAATGAATGGCCGATAAACTAACGCTGCGAGAGATTCGAGATTATTATATTAATATATATATATTATATATATAAATATATATCTCTAGATGGCAATCTCTATACAAACGAGAATAACGGGGCGAAGATATAATGGGAACGGGGTAAATAGATGGAGACGAATGCGAATCTCTTTTCTCTTAAACAAATAATATGGTCACGCGATATATAATTTTTATTATGTAAAATGTAAACTCGAATGTGACGATGATCAAATATGCAAAGATCTGAATCACGAATCTCTCTCTCTCTCTCTCTCTCTCTCTCTCTTTCTCTCTCTCTCTCTCTCTCTCTCTCTCTCTATCTCTATCTCCACGATTACACCCACTCAAATGCATGCTCAATAATACGGAAAGCTTTATAAAAAGCCACTTCATAGATATTCTTGACATTCTCATCTCTGGGGACTCGCGCTGCTTACGAGAGATTTACCGGTGATTTTTAATTAACAACGAGCTATAACTGAAGAGTTTCACTTCAATCGTATAATGTTTGACCTCAAAAATATTCTATTTTACTGTGAGGTCTGTAAGAAATTAATGATAGTAATCAAAGTTCGCTAGCGCTTTACAAAAAATTTATAATATTGAGAGAAAGTTGGAATTAAAAATCAATTAAAGACGGAATTATATCAATCAAAATAAAAATCATAAAACGATTCGAAATTACTTGGCATTATACATAATAATGAAATGTGTATATTAAATGTAATGCTATAATATTCTAATTGTACGGAATGATTGTAAGAAAAGGATACAAGGGAAAAATTACTCGATATAACTTAAGAGGCGTGCAAAATTTTTTGGAATAAATGGATTAGAGATAGCGCGGGTCCTCCTCTTTCACGCACAAAGAGTTTCACTCGTAAATGAATGCAGCCGATAAAGAACCGCAGCAGCCGCAGCAATGCAATCTCCGATTATAATATATATAGAAATCGCGTTATTGATGTGTGTCATTCGAGTGACTTTGAGGTACGTAGAAACGTGAGATTGAAAAACCACACAGAGGGTGCATGGACACTGAAATTGACTACGTAAATGTTAACTTATAGACGTTGACAAATTTTTAAGCTCTCGTAAATTTTGTAAGTACTCGTCAATCGACGTGGTTCTGGAGATTTGTCGCGTAATGCTTCGATTTTTCCCGTTTGTATACTATGTCGAACCGTAAAAAAGAAAGAATGTAACGTGGAGAGAACGTGTAGAACTAATTAGAATTCTAACGTTTAATGAAAGAAACCTCAGAACTTAAGAGTTTCGCCGATTTCGGGCGGATGCTGGGCGATTGACAAATCGGTTTATTGTTATACGGATTACTACGGACTGCTAGTTTGGAATACTTTCAGAACCACGTTCCTCGGCAGCCTTCCGGCTTGTCTACGACCAATGTAAACTCCACTTTCTCACGCACATCTTCTCTTCGCGAATTTTCCTGCGTACAACTCGCCAATCTATTTTCCCACCTTACGTTTCTTTCGTATATCATTTTGCTTTGTTGTAACACTATAACTCCAAGAGCTCCCTGCTTGCATCGATCAAGTTATAGATCGTCTGATGTATGAGCGCAATCGAAGATTTCTTTCCCTTATCCTAGATTTTACCTCTTTAATCGTCGATTATATTACATGCCCTGTGTTTGACGCTCTATATATTAATTTCACTCGATTATACCTCCCTTCTTTTTATATAATTACTCTTTCTCTTTATTTTTTTATTGGAAGTGATAACGCGAAACCGTTATTACAAACACAGTATATATGTGTATATTTTATATGTGTATATATATATATATATATACATATACACACACACGCACACACACACACACACACATATGCCAAATTTTTAGAGAAGAGTTGGATGATGCTAAAGCAGCAAGTGTAAATTACAGAGACTACGGGTCCGTAAATACGACCACAAGTAGCGGCAGAATTTTTTACGCTCTGTAAGGTAATATAGATCGCCGTCTGTTCCTCTCGTCTCTCGCAGACGGAAGAGATACAAAATACAAAAATAAAAAAAAATAGAGCGCCACGGTCCAGAACCACTATAATGTTTAAAAATCCGAAGTCTGTTTATATCTTATGATGTCTGAATAAAAATTGTCATAGTAATTAAAACCTCATGCAATCGATCTTTTTCGTTCATAATCTACATATTCGTACACATATATACACATGTAGGTACGTGTATATTTCGATAGGATTTAACATCAGAACAACCAAAGAAATCAAAATAGTTTGTTTTATCAAATTTACAACAGTACATTTTCTATGACTTTTGTTGCAATATGTAAATAATTAAGTTATTTATTTTTCGTATTTTTATTCTTTTTTTTTCAATGTGATATACTATATCTTTAAATAGTAGAAATAGGTACATTAATTGTCGCTAGTTCCAGTGTTATAAAGTTTTCAGGAAGAGGAAATATATCGGCGTTGGAATCTACAAGATCATCATCTGACGATTAAATGGCGAAAAAACGAAAATAATTAAATGAGAGACAAATAGATTATTCGTGATTTAAAATTGATCAGAGACTATCTTGCTTGCAAATTGGACGTGGGCTTCATTTGTGCGCAATAGAGTAGTCAATTTTTCAACGTTCTAATAACAGCTTTGACTGTCTTTTTATACAGTTTTACAATGGAACAAAATTTACAACGAAACGTGTTAAATTCCGTTTATGATAAGTCATAATAAACCGATAACGCCGAGAAAAATGTATATGTCGTATATCATTATTAAGTTTTTCGTAAATCTCGTATAATATAGTGTGGTAATCGCATATAGAAAGACCAATATTTTCGTGAGACTGAAAAATGATAAACAGTTGAGAATAGCATAGTTGAAATCAAGAGAAAAATTATGGACCGATGAAATAAAATATATAATTCCAGTTAGCAGAGAGAAATTTAAAAAGGAAGCCGACATGAAATTTGTTCCAAAATATTTTTTGCTTAATCTAAGATGTTCTGTATATACATATAAATATAAATGTGTATGTTTTCATAAAATGCGCGGAGGAGCTGAAGACATAAGATTCAGGACCAATTACATATTTCAACTGTACTAAGATTGTTTTTCTATCTATTTGTTATAATAGTAGTACCCGAGTCATTCAAATAAAATGACATTAATAGTCGGAAATTAATATTAATTGTAATTATTAATAATAATAGAGTAAAACACCGGGTATAGTAAGATAGAAGACACAAAATTTCTCAATAAAAGCAATGGCGTTTAGCGTGCGTGATAATGGAACAAAGTGCACATAATTATATTCCTCTACTATGTTAGATTATAGTTGCGTACGGACAACTGTAGGCTTGTCAAAGAGTGCATCTTAATTATATTTCACGTAAATTTAGAGCAATGCGTAACGCCGTGTGTTTCAATATGGAATATTCTAAACTTGGAATGTTGTGAAATATAAAGTGAGAAACATAAGAAATAAAGTTGAAAGGTGACTAAAATGAGATTTCTTCACGAAATCCTATCATTTCGCATTTTATTGTCTTTAAAAAATAATTTCTTTTTACGATATATTAATATAAAGAGATAATAGATAAAATTTATCAAATACTATATTACCCATAAAATTATTTTCATAAATCATGATAAAAATGCAAGAAAAATATTTCACAAATTTAACAATAATGTTTCTTCTCTTGAGATTAAACAATACTTTCATTCATTCAAAACGTTTCATAAAATTATAGCAAATGAAGGAATCATATAAAAAGGATAAAAAAGGATTAGACTCACAGAATGGGATTACGGAAACACTCATCGATGGGCAATTTTATCCAATGGGCGTTTTTCAAAACATTCTTGTTTATTTATAAAGTCCGTCGTTCTCCTCTGGCTATTGCCTCTCGTCGGTGGCAGCAGCTCTTCTTTATTTTACAGTACTTACAATATGAAGTGTAGGTCGATCGCGAAAATTCATGCTGCCAAAAAACTACACAGAGTTCTCCTAAGTCATAAGCTTCATCTTCACGGAAGAACATTAACCATGTCAAGTATCAGGAGCCACCATGTTCTCGTTTGGGCGATCTGATTGGCCCCGAGAGTGACGTCACGCTTTGACTGCGCAGTGGGTGTCCACGGCGTGAGCATACCCTTATTCTTATACCATGCACGGAAGTAATGGTCGGGTAGAAGCACGGTTTTAAAGGTATCTTTAAAGCGTACAACGCGAAATAAAACATATCGCGAAATCGACTGAACAAAATACGTCGAGTTGTTTTGTATGCCGTGCGACTAATTTGTGCACGTATTGGCTATAACAAGGCACAAGTATACACACGAACTGGCATTCAATGAGTAAGCTAAAGTTCTTGTCCTCCAGTCTTAATTTTCGTTTATATAATAATTCTCTAGGGAAGAATTCCATTTCGAGGAACGAAATGACTGTTGCTTCGGAATTGCGAAATTGAATTAGAGTTCAATAAGTTAGAGGAAAATTTCGAGCTTAGCGTGCAGTTAATATTATTTCGTCATCTGCGCCGCTTTCTTCGCCTTCACGAGCTCGACCAGTTCCTACAACAAGGAGAAAGCGCAGCATTAGCTCAATTCATTATTCATATAATTAACTTGATAATACATACTCGATATTAAATTATTTCAAACATCGCGTTTTATCTTTCTTCCTTTCATTTTATAAAAAAAAACTTTATGGTCAAGTATAACAATGTTTAATTTGATATTACGTAAAATCATAAGCTTGTATATTTGCATTATGCGACTATAATGATACAAGTTATATAATATTTTTCTCTTAAAGCTTACCTTATATCTTTTCATACATTCTTTTTTCGTTCTGGTGGGTATACACGCTGCAATCTGATCCCATCTGTCTGGAACCGACGTCGGATAGGTTTTAAGTGCTTGTTCCAAGAGTTTTTGTTCAGCCAGTGTCCATGGTGCTGATTCTTTTTTCATTTCCTTAGATTCAACGGTAACACCATTCGCGATTGGATGGTCTAGACGCTCCGTAACGGCTGGCATTCTTTCTTCTATAGCTTCCTTACTCTTTTTCTCGGCAATGAAATTGTCAAAGGCTTTCTTATTCGCCTGTTCTTTTAAACTCGATTTGCTAAAGTCGGTTGATTGCAGACTTTTGGCTTTTGCCAGGACTTCCTTAGCATCGCGGGTAACTCCATTAGTAGAACTGCTATGTTGATTGATGAAATTTGCTACAACCTCCCAACGTTGATTGGTACCAGCAGGAAATAGATTAACTGCTTTTATTAAAAGTTGCAAGTCATTCTCGCTCCAGGGTGCGGTACAAGTTTTGGTCTGCTTATCGGGTGTGTTTCTCGCATCGTTATTGATTACATTTACGCGGCGTTCTGCTTCAATTATTTGTTCAGCTTCTTCAACGATGCTCAGAAACGCGATCCTGCCGTTAGTCTGAAGATTCTTCATCGCCTCTTCCAGCTGTACAAGCTTGAACAATTCACAAATCTTTTCTACGTTTTCCATGTGTCGGAGACTCTCTTCTGAATTTTCTGCAAAGTAATCGTTTGCTTTGCAAAAATCTCTGAACGCCTTCCTTTCTTTGCGTAATGCCTTTTTCTGTACTTCTCGTTCCTGCTTCAGCGCATCTTGTTTTGCTCTTTCTTCGGATTCTCTTTTCTCTTTCTCCAATCTTTCTTTCTCTGCTGCATCACGTGCTATTCTCTTTTCTTCTTGTTGTCTGGCTTTTGCTGCCTCCTGCTTTGCTCTTTTCACGGCATTTTTTTTATCCTTGTCCTCTTGTTGAAATTTCTTTATTCTAGGATCTATATTGTAAGCCATGTCCACTAAAGTGCGTATTCGCATCATTTCCTCTTTTTTCCGTTTTGCTCTCGTGGCTTTGTTCTTTTTTTCGATCCATTTCCGCATGTCTCGGCTGCAATTAATTTCATCATAAAATATTATATTTACAATTTTTTTCATGAAAACCTTGTGATTCGTCGTACTTACTCTTGACCACTCTCCTTGTCTTCCTCGTCAAGATATGAGTATTCGCGCCAGGAATCAAAATCGTACCAGAACGAGTAGAACTGTTCTACCTTCTCGCGTGGTGTGAACGGCCCACCCAATCGAGGCACAGGCTTCTTCACAGACCACCGTGAGTTCTCTTTGAAAGCTTTACCTAATATCTCGTAAAAATTGTTCCGACAGTCCTTCTCGTCTGGCAGATTGTCATTGAAATAAGGATCTACACTATCGTAGCTTCGTCTCTTAGCTTGACTTCCAAGGGTTTCCCAGGCACGAGTTATACAAGTGAAGTAGTCATCGTCTGGTCGGATTTCCTCGCCCATGGCCTTGCGCTTATCAGGATGGTGCTTTAATATTTTCAGTTTATCTGTAATCCACGTATTAGATATGTCCAGTTATTGTTCATTTTGAAACAGTATTACAGTCATAAAAAATATAAGCAGTAGCATATCAAACATGTTAATTTCCTTACTGTTACTTTCATTGTTTAAATTTTTCTGTATGTCATGTTCCTTAGACTAATATTACACATATCATATGACAAATTTTTCATGTCTGATAATTGGCAGAACAGAAAAATTCGTTGATCTTATAGCCAACAGACTTAAAACGTTTGTCATATAACAAATATAGTATTAACCTTATATTAACATTCCTCTACAAAGCATTGTTTACGTACAAGCTTTTTTGATAATATCTTCAGTTGCTCGATGTCTAAGATCTTTTATTCCTAGAACAGCGTAATGGTCCTGATCTTTCCAGTCTCTTGGATCCAATGACCTGAGGTACTCAAGATCATCCTCAAATTGATACTGGGACTGATCTTCCTCTTCGTCTGATAATTCCGAAACACTGCCTCCTGTGAGACTGCGATAGAATTGGGTTCGCCATGCCAATGCAATTGAATATAAAACTACTGGACCTGCTGTACTGGTGTTGGTCTTGCCTGGATCTGCAATAAAAATTTGTTGCAAGATTTATAAAGAAAAACTGCGAAAAATTGATGAAATATATTTGCGAAAGAGATCACAGATAAACTGTAGATTTAATGCAAAATTAGGATCACATGATATAAATTCGAATACTTTAAACGACCACAGAATTATGTGAACTGCGTAAAACGGAAATTTTTTTCATCATAATAAGAGACAGATCGGGCTATTGATCAATACTTGGGAGCTAAAAATCCATTGAAATTTGGAGGTCATCCGAAAAACCCGCTGTTCCTTGACATTTCTAACCAATCATAACCTCAAAAGACCGGTAACGTGCGGCAAAAGATAGACGACTTACCGGATATGGAATTAAATACCGTGGAGTCCTCGGTCCCGGTGCCGTCCGTCATCGTCGTACGGTCTTCGTGATGAGCTGGTCGAGTAAGTCCTAAAATTGCACACGGGACACACGGAAAGGTTCGGCCTATCGATCACGTAATGTATGCATCCCGAATCCCGAAATCCAAATGAATTCGAACGACCGAACCCGAAGTTCGAGACAGTTCGAGAACTAACGAATAGTGTGAATATCTGCAACTGGTAAATTTTCGAGAATCTCGAACTCGAACCTCTCGAGCACTCTCGAGAATCTCGAACGCGACTTGCATTTGCACGAACTACAATTGACGTGACGAACGCCACAAGTGCCAGCTCAAGAATGGCCGCTAATTTAAAAATGAACTTAAATCTTCGAACAGGCTGGAATTTTACAATATTCCGTTTATGTAATGTGGGCAACAAAATAATAGGTCTGTTCGCGTTGCTTGCACTTTTGTTCAGAATATTCGCTTTTTTTCTCTTCAACGACACAAATGTTTTTATTTATTATTTGTCGAATGTGAAGAAGGATCATGGAGAAATTTAAATTCCAGATTCAGATTTCTTTCTTCTTTCTGAGAAAATAAAATAAAATTGAACTGGCTGAATTAGATGAATATTTAAATTGAGAATTAGAGTTAGATGGTAGGTACAAAGAAAAGTAAGATTAAACTTAAAAATATACGATTAATCATAAAAAATGCAAAAGTTATAAATTAATAATGAAATAATAATTATATAGATTATACTAGAATTTTGACTCTGTATTTTTAATATAATAGCAAGAATGAAAAATTAATATATAATTTAATTAATTATAAAAAATTATTAATTAAAAAATTAATTGTAAAAAATATATACTCTTGAATGATTGCATATCGGTGGCACAGATTAGTTACATTTCGACAATTTTGGATAGATTAGGATTGTTTTATGAATTATGAAGAGCAATCTCTCAGTTCTATAAAACATCCATCATTATACTTTTGTGCGAGACCGGGAGACCATAGTACCACGAAAAGCAATTAAACGCGACATGCTCTGTTCCAAAATCATAATATAAAAGTTCAAAATTATTTAAATGTAACAAACTGCGCCCCTATAAAAAAAATTACAATTATTTTACACGGAAAAATAATAACTTTAATAAATATTAAAAATGGTTGGAATGTAATAAATTGTATCAAATAATTAACGTAAGATTTTTTTCATTGTGGAAATTATATGAAAACAGGAAAACGTGAAATATGTGCGAAATGAAGATATAAAATTCAAAATTCATTTATTATTTGTCAGTTATAAATATTCTCTCTCTTAAACAATATAAGTAAATAGTTCAAACATTTGAAATCCATTATGCGATATATGTATCACACCAAACATATATAATATATATTCATGATCATCTTTATTTAATAATACTTGTAATTAAACAGTGCTTTAATTAACAAGGCATGGTTCGATTTTTAATGCGAGTGCATATATACAAGTACAAGATGGAAGGCACGTGTTTTCCTGTTTTATCTCGCGAAATTTTACATTCTAGAACCTTTACTTACCTTATAAAATGTTCTTAAATATAGGTAACTTACAATCACAGACTTCAATATCTAGACTGCTGATTCCTATGTGATAGAAAGAAATAAATCTGATTTTTTTATCCTTGTTTTAGTTCACGTTCGCACATGTATGTATTCTGTCTACAAGTATACTATGTGGTATTATCCGAATGATTATATATATATATATATATATATTAGGAGTACAAATTAGTTCGGTCCGTTTTTTTGTGTTTAAAAATGCATTTATTTCTAAACAAAATGAATAAATAGATTAATTAAAGTATTGTCTATCGCTGGCTACTACTTTTTCCCATCTCTCAGACAATTTTCAAATTCCATCTTGAAAAAATGACTAGTCTTTGGAGGCGAATCAGTTTTGGAGCCAATTTTCGATTTCTGCGGAAGAAGTGAACTGGTGACTTGCCAAATCGTGCTGCATCCTTCGGAACAACCAGTAATCAGAAAGAGCAATGTCCGGAGAATACGGCGGATGCGGTAAAACATCCCATTTGAGCGTTTCTAAATATTTTTTTACGACTTTTGCGACATGAGGCCGAGCGTTGTCATGAAGAAATAATAACTTTATCATGTCTTTGCTCGTATTCCGACCGTTTTTCTCGCAATGCACGGCTCAAACGAATCAATTGTAGCCGATAACGATCGCCCGTAATGGAATTGCCAGGTTTCAGCACAGGTCATAGTAAACAACACCCTTTTGATCTCACAGATACAGAGCATGATCTTCGAACCATGAATGTTCGGCTTTGGTGTTGATGTTGAGATCGATGGCAACGATTGATCGGGCTTAACGCAGTATTTTTTCTTCTTGGAGTTGTAGAATATCCACTTCTCATCTCCAGTCACAATCCAATGCAAAAAATCTTTTCTTTGTTGCCTTTGAATCAGCTGCTCGTAAGTGAAAAATCTCCTTTCAACGTCACTCGGTTTCAGTTCATAAGGCACCCAATTTTTTTGTTTTTGAATCATTCCCATGGTTCTCAATCGTACAGAAACGGCTTATTGAGTTACTCCCAATGGTTCTGCAAGCTTCTCTTGCGTTTGACTCTAATCTTCTTCGAGTAATGCCTCTAATTCTTTGTCTTCGAATTTTTTGGCTGTCCAGAGCGAGGCTTGTCTTCAACGCTGAAATCTCCATCCTTGAAACGTCGAAACCATTCCCTACATGATTTATCAGTTGGAGCAGTGTCACCATAAACTTCGACAAGCATTCGATGGGCTTCAGCTGCACTTTTCTTCCAATTAAAGCAGAAAATTAAAACCTCCCGCAAATGCTGCTTGGTTAACACAAAATTCGACATTTCAAACAGAGAAAAAATCAAGGTTTTTGTATGAAACTCAAAGCGATATAAACTGAATATTATTAGCAGATGTCTAACCTCTCTGAAACCGCCAAAATCAGCTGTCACTATGAACCATTCACAACAGCCGGAACTATCTTTTGGAAAACGGACCGAACTAATTTGTACTCCCAATATATATAGTGTATATATGTATGTGTGTGTGTGTGTGTGTGTGTGTGTGTGTGTGTGTGAGAAGATATGAAACTCGCGTATTAAATGAGTTTGAACATGGCGGCGAAATCGGCTGTTCTAGGTATAAAAGTCTATGCTTATAATAGATAGTGATAAAAGAGATACAGTCGTGTTCGCTACGTTTCCTTGTAAATGTCAATTGGACGGAGCGCAAACGAGACAAACTTCAATAGCTTTGTTTACTGGGAAGACAGGGGATTACATGAAATGAAAATTATTTTCAACTGGCATCACCCCACACCCTTTCTTTGTTCGTATCAACAATAAACTAGTTTCTGATAATAAGGGAATTACTGTTTACTTATTATCACACACTTGGTTATCCTACTATATATTCTCGCGGGACTTATAAATAAATATAAGGATTTCGCAACGTTGCTGCTAGAACATCTCTTTTTCTTCAAATTATAATGCATAAAAGAAAATAAATTAGAACATAGAACAATGTTAATAACAAATAGCCATTTGCGACTTATCAGTCATGTCTAGTAAATGTATCACTAAGGGATTAAAAGGAAGTGATACCCAAATGGAGATAGAAAAAGCTTCATCACGAATTATCGATTTACTGGTTTCCGGGAGATGATAATCGCCTCTGATATGGATTCTGAAGTAATCGCGGATAACATTCAATCACACGTAATAGTAATCGATCGATATAATCCTCCAAATCGGAAAGTCTCTTGTTCTTCTCCGTAACTTGCGTCTGCAGTTGTAATGCCAGTTCTATCAGATCCTGTAAGTAAGATACTTTGTTTAAAATAAAACATTTAATTAAATAAAACAGAAATGGTCTTACAATGAAAAACTTGTTTTGTAAAAAAAATAATGATTACACATTCCTCTTCAATGAGAAATTAATAAGAGCTTAAATAAACAAAAAATTAAACTTAAAAAAAAAAAAAAAAAAATTTTACGCTTTGATATTTACTTCTCTCGATTTTCCGTCGAATTGGTTAAGGACCTCGTGCGGTAGGCGACTTTTAGAATTTGTGGCGTTCTTAACGGCATCTTCACCACCAATAATAATTCTTTCGGAAGACAAGTGATTTTCGTCATTAGCATCTTTGAATTTGCTCTCCTTGTCCTTTTTCTTGTCCTTTTTCACATACTTTTCCTCTTTGAAATTTCGTAAATCACATTTCTCATCCTTTTTATCCTTCGATTTATCTTCCTTTACAAACTTCTCCTTGTTTGCAGTGAGTTTCTCCTTACTCGCAGTGAGTTTTTCATCCTTATTCCTTGGATGAAGAATTTCCCTCGGTGCGGGACTTGGAGGTTCCGGAAGATCTTTCAACCTTGATGTGATCGGCGATGTCGAACGAATAGGTGATACGTCGCGTTTGCTGTCTTTCGGTTCGTCCACCACAATCTTAGGTTTGCTGTCCCATCTGACGAATACAACATGCAACACTGAATATCATGCTTATACATTTTACTTCATAAATCTATTTGCTATATATACTTTTATTACTGTTATAATAATTTTATTATTGTTAAACATTTATTGAATCGTAAAATATGTTACAATTTTTTTTTTAATCTTTGTATTTCTTTCCTATTCCTATTGCATATTATAAAGAAACATCTTTAAACATTTCACCTTTTAGGTACGCTGCTCGCCTGTTTGCCATAGAGTTTTAAACCCCATTCGTCATCCTTCGTTAAATTGTCGACCTTCGACAGATTTGTTGTAGATGCGCTCATAGCAAATCGTGGTGGTTTGCTCGGAGCGGCGTTAATTGGCACTGGTGGTGTGTGCACATCGCTAAAGACATTGCTCTGCGAGCCATTCGAAATACCATTGGTATTACCGCTGTTAACACCCGGATGCACGGGTGCATTGAGTGATGAGGCCGAGCTTTTGTGAGATAAATCATCGAACTATAACAGATAAAAAAAAATAATTAAAGAAATTATATCCAGAGAATATTGAACAGACAAATTTATTTTCAATACTCGTCTAATTCGTTACATTTATGATATACATCTTCAATATATGTATATTATATTTACCAAATTAGAAATATAATAAAATTAATCAAATCTTCCTCCACTCTTCATTGATAATACCGGTATATAACTTGCGTTTACTTACTGTGAATTCATCTTCATCCTCGCTGATAACTCCAGGATCAGCTTCACCTGGTTCTTGTCGCGTGATTTTTATTTCACGTTCCTCCTTCTCGTCCAAATTATTTCCATCAAGCCGATTCTTACTCTTGCCTTTAACTTTGTTTCCAATTGATTTGGCTAATTTCTTCAAGCCTTTGCGTTTTTCAAGGCTACCGATACTGAGCAAACTACCGCCGATTGACTGTGCAGCTGTGGACAATTGTCCCAAAGAGCTTTTGTGACGCTCCTTTTTACTTAGGTCGGTCAGACTTCCAGCTTTTACAATAAAGCCAATTCTTACTTCGAGCTCGCCTCTCTCCTTCGTGTTCTCTTTGCCTGGTTTACTGTTAAGAGCGTACCTAATACAAGCGGATTTTCTCTATTACAAAATTGAGAACAGATAAAATGTGTATGTGTCTCATAAAGCAAATTTTAAATCTTGATAACTCCACACACAATAATTGAAATCTTTTTATTTGTTAACAATAAAGAAAATTTATAAAACGTTGCAAATCTTTTGAAATAAAAATGTAAATTTAAAAATAAATACACGCAAACAATAAATAGCATAAAGATGAATTTTATAGAAAACGTAAAATTTACTGTACTAAAAGAAAAAATTTACATATGACTAAGTATGTCAAAAACTTATTGCCACACAAAGTAAATGGTCGATTATAACATCACGTTATAAGAATGCCAAAAGGAATGCGAGTGATTAATGAGATATGCGATACGCAATGGGTTCTCTTTCCCGAGTTATTTTTCTGTGGGCGGGAGGTGTGGGAGAGATTTGCATGAAACGTAATTTGTAATTAACGCTATCGCAAACGCACCATCGATTTCTAGGCCTCTCGTACACATCGAAGCTGGAGAGTGGTACACTGACGGTGCCAAGAAACTCGTCGACACCTAGGAAGTTACGATGTAGAGCGGTGAGGACGATTTCCGCGGTATTTCCTTGCTCTGGAATCAACAGCTCGCATTCTTCGTGCCAGTCTACGTCCTTGGTAGCCTTTTCCTTCACTGACGTCTGATACCTTTCCTTGCCGAGAGTGATCGTAACGAAGCAATCGTTGGTCTCTGCGTATATGTACATTCACAATTTGGCGTGTTGTTTCGTGACGTGGGCGAGGATCGGTGTTGACCGGGAGTGAGGTCAGGAGATTAATGAGATGTGCGTAACGGGAATTAAAGATCTCTTGGTAAGAAAATACGTCTGGTCTCGAGCGTTGTAGAAATGCTGTCGTAAGAGTTTGCTTAGTATTTGTATAATTAAAAAAGAGAAAATTCAGTTCTCCGATTTTGATTTAATTGTAACCGAAGAAAGCGTTACCCAGTTTGCGTACATTTATTAGATATTACTATGCATATTAATAAAATTAAATTAAATTCACGAAACGTTGGCATTAACAATGAAGAAAGACACGGCGATAACCCGCAAACCCTTCTGGTATAATTGAAGAAAATACCCGTGAAAGCCTCAAAAGCGTAATCAAAATAAAATTAATTTATGTATAAATAGAAATTTAGATATATATATAATGGAAAAAAAACTGAAGTAATTCAATTCTATTTCACATGCACGTAATGAAATGTTATTTAATCTGACAACATATGACGCGCTTCTAATTTATATATCTTTCCACAGATGCAAGCCGACAAGCCTTATTATTAACCATAATGTATGTTCTCTCGTTAGCAACGTTGCGTTTGTTTATTTTACATTACGATTGATAAATACAGTAATGTCACAACGTGTGTATATAGCGGACGAGCATCGGAAGTTATTAACTCGTAGCGCAATTACTCTGATTATTAGATCGAGAAGATAGCTTACGCGCTCACATTATATTGCAGTTGGATTACTAACTTATAAAAGTCCTAAACTAAACATTTCGAAATATACATTATAAAATTTCTACGTTAATTTTCATCAAAGTGACAAAATTCGATAACAAATTTTATGATTTATACTTACTTCGTATAACTTATAAACCTTCTATATTTACATTTTTTTATCCTCTGAATTCATTAAAATAAGTAAAAAATGCATCTTTATTTTATAAGAATTTTTCTCAGAAAACCTGACATATTTTCGTTATTTATTTCCAGCATGTCGATTTCTTACGTCTGTGAAGCTGGCCCCTCATTGTAAAAATTTTGAAAAAATAAGCAGAGTTCTGGTTGCCCCCCGAAGAGTTCTAGAGTTCTCTATCAAATTTAGGAAGAGTTCTATTGATTAAAGCAGCGAAAACACCATTTGAAATTACGGGGGGGCCAACTTCACGATTCTGCAACTTTGAAGAGCTATAACTTCTAAACCGTTCATTTTAGCACGTTGGTCTATAGAGGACAATCGATAGAACTCTTTGGGAGGCTATCAGAACTCTCAAGAAAACACCGAATTTCCAAAATTTTTTTTTTAAAGAAATTCGGTAATCTGATACGAGTTCTAGTAGCCCCCCGAAGAGTTCTAACAATTATCCTAAACAACCAATGCTCTAAAATCAATATTTAGAAAGATATAGTACTTTGAAGTTACAGATTATTAATTTTTCCAAGTCCACAGACGAAAAATATTTTTCTCAGAAATCCTGTGTTTTCTTCAGAGTTCTGGTAGCCCCCCAAAGAGTTCTAACGATTATCCTTAATAATCATTGCGCTAAAACCGCAAACAAAGAAGTTATAGCTCGTTGAAGTTGTAAAAATATCAAAATCTGAAACTTTAAGGTCCCAGAACTTTTCAGGTATTGATTTTACAGCAACAGTTATTAAGGATTATCGTTAGAACTCTTCGGGGGGGCTACTAAAACTCCTATCAGATTGACGAATTTCCATGAAAAAAAAATAATTTTTTTTAATTTTTGGAAAAAAATTTTGGAAATTCATTATTTTCTCGAAAGTTCTGATAGCCCCCCAAAGAGTTCTATCGATTGTCCTCTATAGACCAACGTGCTAAAATGAACGGTTTAGAAGTTATATTATTTCAAATGGTGTTTTCGCTGCTTTAATCAATAGAACTCTTCCTAAATTTGATAGAGAACTCTAGAACTCTGCGGGGGGCAACCAGAACTCTGCTTATTTTTTCAAAAGTTTGACAATGAGGGGCCAGTTTCACAAACGTCGATTTCTTAGCGTAAAATGACATAAAAATTTGCGACGGATCGCATTACTTTAATTCTGCTGAGAAATAATGAGATTATGTATATATACGTATATTTCGCCTTGAACGAAATTTGAGTTTGATTAACATGGCGACGTATAAAAATTTGTGCGTATTGTTTTGCAAACTCAGATTACCTTGCCAGCGAAAACCGGATGATTCATGACCTAAAATAGCCGCGGAATACGAGGTCACTCAGTATCGGCGCAAACACATGAATAACGTGTAGGCAAGTAAGAAACGTGATGATGCACGCATCAATGAGAGAAAACGGGTGACAGCTGGATTATTGAGAGATTTTAAGATATTATTGTGTCCAGGATGCTTAGGCATTAGGAGACTTTTAGGAGGAAGAATTTTTTTAATTTATCTAATTTTTACTTTAAATACTGATATATTTAATGCGTATCTTGTTACGTACGACATTATATCTATGTATTAGATATTAAGATTGTATATGTTTTGCGCACTGGTAACAGCGTTGACTCTTCATAGCCTTTTTATATTTTTTACTTAATTTTTGTAATTGTTTTAAAACATATAAGAGTCTATAATTCAATTATATTATTAATTTTTAATATTTTTTTGTTACGTAAATTTAATAAATTTTTATAGATAAAAAGTTCACCAAGAGTAAAAATTTTCAAATCCAATACATAAAATCGTATGACTCACTGTGTTTTCCTTTAGTTAGCAGGTCCTTGGCCCTCTGAACTGTAAACATTGAAAATGAAATGTCATAAACGCAGACTAAGTACTCAGTAATATTAAATAATATTATTTAAGCATATAATTTATATTATTTAAGCATATAATTTATATTATTTTTACTTAATATGTGCTAAAATATAAAACAAATTGCCAATTAGATAGGTAATTTGATTAAAATTAATCTTTCAATTTGAGTTTTTAATATTAACAATATATTCACAAAAATAAATAGCTCGTAAATAAACAGATATAACATGCAAAAATACCGCATATTCGATCATTTTATATCGCGTGCTCGCATTTAAATATTAATATCGTAAAACCGAGGCGATAAGTCATCGTGAAAACAGATTTCTTTAACAGCTCTCGCGTACATCTACTTTTTTTTTCTTCAATCGACTTTCCATGACCCGTGGGCACGAGAAAATCTCACGTTATGGCTTTCGCGCATAATCGCTCTCGCTTATATCAGAATAAAAAGCTATATATATTGCACATATCATATATCCAGTTACCGCCCCTTTCGTGATTCCGAGAAATCAATTATTATATTTTATGATCTTCATTTTTTATGCTGTCGTTTATTCTTGCAATATTAGCGCCATAATTTAAAGATAAAAAGTATCAATTTAAATATAAAAAATAGTAAACGTTTTATAGTTGTATAAACGATATTTTTAAATAGCTCGTAACGAATGACGTAGTATATGTATGTAATAAGTTGTGTTCTCAGTTTGCATTTTAGATCCTGTTTTTAGATTCTAGTTTCTTCATTTTAGATTTTTTTAATAATGAAAAGTTATAACATCGAAAATAAAATGTGAAACAAATTAAGATCTTTAGAATAAGCGATAGAATTTGATTGAATTTTATAATTGGTGATTTAATTATGTACACCAAATGTATGAAAATGGTGTATCGTGACTGTGAAGCTTTTAATCAAAAGATGTCATTTATTGATCAAGCCTGTGTGTAACTTCTGTGAAACTTTGACCAAAATACAGAATTTAAATAATAAAATATCACACGATTATAATATTCCCCGATAATTTTCCGGCAATTTCATCGCATTACAAACGAAGGTTATCCCTTCTAGCAGAGAACTTGTTTACTTTTTCAATATTAAACTTCAATAACTTTTCAGTAATATACATTGAATTACTAAATCATGACATTGACCTTCGCAGGTGCATCATTGTGGAACTTGAAATCTGAATTTACATAATCCGCAAGATCTCGTAAAATGATTACGAAATATAAATGCGTGCGATAAAAAAGGAAAGGAAGAACTGCACTTTGTCTCTCTTCGAACAGTAATCCGTTAGCTCGTAACACGAAGCGTTACCGAATAACTGTCAGAGGCACTTCCTCGTTCTCACACGCGTAATGGCGATGAACCGTAGTATGAGCAGTCTGAGGTACGAGGAGGTAACATATTCTTCAATTTCTCGTGCACCGAAAGAGAAGAGTCGGGAAAACCGACTCTCTCATTGCATCTTCTTTCACGGTCGGATTAGAGTCGAGATTGGACTTACCGCGATGATGCCGCAGTCAAATACCGTTTAGTCTGATAGAGGCATTTTTCAACGCTTCGTGCGTCTCAACAACGTGTGGTTGGATCGCGATGATTCGACGACACGCGATTACATTTCTTGACTGATCCTTTTTTAATTTATCTAAAGGATTTTCTAGGTCTCTCTTGCGGGTCCACCGCACATTTTCTTCAAGGAATTGTGTTACAGAAATATGTATACTGAAAAAAAATTCTTTTACTAAATTAAGTTATCTTTATTTTTTTTTCATTGGAGAATGTATAATATATGTATTTAAGTCAAATAAATATAATATGTTTGACTTAAATATATACATTCTTCATCAAAAGAAATAGACAAACTACATTAATTTAGTCACATAAATAATTTTTTTTTTTCAGTGTACTAAATCTGTAAATTATGTAAAAATATTTTATAGATAAACAGGTAACAATAATCGAAATTGAGAGAACATGAGATGCAAAGATTTTTACTGTTTAGATATCCGGTTTAATTGTGAAATACTTTATGTAAAAGAAAGGAGAGCATTGAATAGCTACTAAATATACTTTCACGCGTTGCCTGTTTCGTACACCAAGGTACGAAAGAACCGGAAACTTGCCACTCGAAGAAGTCGCGAGACAAAGATTTATAATGCATTACATATATGCATACGATATATGGCACATGAATTATTTATTTTTCTCTATTACAATTTTATAAGGCACGTTTTTTACATGCTATTGAAAACGATAAATAAGAATTTATTCACAATTGTGCGTGCCTTCACATATAATAAGGATTTTAAGAATTTATTTTGACACTAGTCCGTGAGAAAAAATGTCGTCTTTGAATCATCCTGAGGAAACTTTCCGGATTCGCACCTGGTGTCGGTTACCGTTTTGAACACAGATGTCCGGCTTTCCTTCCCCCTGTGCATGTGTCCGTTACAACGGAAATTCTCGACCACGATACTCTCGATTTGACACCTGCCAACGTCCAAAGGTAAAAGTTTCGCGCGCGCTAATTAAGGAGACAAGTACTCTAAAACGCGAGCACGCTTTCGCGAATTAAGCCGCACTCTCAGTAACAGGGCTCTTATCTTATGATGATCGATTCGTGGTGAACGATGTATTCCAATTAAAAACTTCACAAATTGCATACTGAAGATTGAAAGACTATAATAAAATTACTGGGGATTAAATTATCGTAAAAGAATCGAGAGGGAAGATAATAAATTAGACAAGGAGAAATTTCTCTGGGGATTAAATTTAGATTATCAGAGGAGATACGTGTGTTTTAAAAACCAGCTGATGAGTAATATCAATAATAGCAATACATAAGGTGAGTCATTGGATATGTTGTGATAAAGAGATATTCAGCGAATGCTCGCTATTCGAAAATTTTGGTACGTAGATTTCATTCAATGATAAATTGAATAAATTCTTTCACGCAAGAAAATACAGTCAGGTGTTACAGTAGGCAAGCAGAACCAATATATTTCCACGAGCTAACATTTATTTGCAACACAACAATGTAGCCGCATAATTGCATTATGTTTAATTGGTGTCGAAATTAATCGAAATTATTACTAAAAATCGTTACAAACCATGCAAAAAATACGATTCTTTTATGATAATTTTAGGAAGGAAATGAAAGAGAGAAAGATAAAGAAGATAAATATTTAATATAGAAGAGTTCTTCAATCTATCTCCAGAGACAACATTATTTCATAAACTGTTAACAATGAAATCAATATTTAAGTCCAAAATTAACTTTAGAGAACCTATAATTTTAATCTATATTTATATAATTTCTATTCTAAAATCGATAATTTTATTTTTTTTTAAAAGCTTGCAAAATGTGAAAAGTTACTACAATTTTGTACATTCACCGACTAAAACATTGCAATACTTTTTTTTTTTTAATGGGTTTTGAAATGCTGAATTGATCGCTCGGGTAAATAGATTTTGCATTCCGAAAATCATAGAAAAAAATCAATTGCAACTTTTTAGTCGGTAATTATACATAGTTTTTTTCCACTTTGTAACATTGAAGTAATTCAAGTAATTATACCCTTGAAAAGTATTCACAAAACACTTTTCTGTCTTTGTAGAAAATTGTACAATTTAAGGCAGACTTTAGAGAATATATAATTTTATTTTGATTTATATAATTCTGTAATTTCTATTCTAAAATCCACAATATCATTTCCTCCAAAAATGCACGTAAAACGTTGAAAATTCACCAATCTTTTATACACCTCTTATAATATAGTCTATATAGATTCTCTATATATAAATTTCTTTTTAATATATCGATGTAATTATTCTTGGAAATTCAGCGTATGACGAATATAAAGACTCCATATTGCGGTTATCTTTTTTTTTTATATATAAAAGAAACAAATTCAACTGGCAAAGTTATAGAGGGTCTACTCTTAAACGAAAGACCTATATGTAATGCGTCGGACGCGAGCGTGCAATGCGAAAAAGAGAAAATTATTTTCCGAGCGCGATGCATTCTCAGACGGTCTTTAAATAATACATGTTTCGCGTGCACTACACAGTGCAGCGATGACACGATGACACATCGCAGCAGCAGGTAAGTATCTCATTGCGCGTACACTTCTCTGGATCTTTTTCAATTTAAGATAACGAGAGATATAAACCAGACCACCCTCATCGCGCATTCTCAACTAAATCGCGGTATCATTTGCGTTGCTGATAAGATTACAATGTCAGGAGGAAAGAAATAATAATCTAAACTAAAGCTCTATTTGCTCTCAAGAAAGATGTTTCTTTCAATATTTTTATCAAATTCTACCCGTTTTTTTTTTTTCATACTTTCTAGTAAGAGACATATAAGGTTTGTTCCTGTTTGAAATCACGCAAAATTTTTTAACTTGAGATAGATATATACAATATACATATTTGGGCGTTGAAAAAAGAGAAAGCGAAGATGCTACGTGCAAAAAGTACAAAGCGAATAGACTTAATGTAACACAATGATCGTTTCATTTTTAACATTAAACAAGGATATAATGATTCACCGTAGAGATCTTATAACAGAATTTGCACCACAAGCAATTATGTCAAAATCCTACGAGAGACGAAGATATACAATATAATTTCTCTCTATATATATTGTTCAATTTCACTCTATAATTTATACTGTTTCAGTATATAATTTTAATAAAAATTTATATTAATAGAATAAGATAGTAGAAATTCTTTATCTCGAATGAGATAGTATTATAATATATACGGGGAGAATTTATATTACTTTCCTCTCTCGTAGGATTTTATCGCCAGTAAGACCAGTGATAGAAAATGGTTGCAATCACTGCTAATTAGTAATTGCTCTTTACTCATGGCCAAACTCTGATAATAGAGTCTCTAATTCACTGTGTCACACTGTGTCATCTGTGTCTCTTGCTGGAAAGCATTCTTATAATCTCTCTGTTTAAAAGTTCCTCCTTTATGTCAGCTTGATTATGCGCTTGGAAAGTGTCCAGATATCCACACCGCGTGACAATACAAGGTAATATTCCGTTTCTACATCTCAATGACATGGCACGGGCGATCCGGGGCTCGAACGACCTGGGATACATTCCTGAGCGACGACGGTGACGAGGCTGTGGAGTTTCGCTCGCCTAGTTTTTTCTGCGAACGCAAGAGACACGTAACCTCGTGTATAAGAATATGCATGTAATACGTATTCGCACGTACATGCGTATGTAATAATCGAGTTACGGCATGCATTCCACCGCGGCGCGTACCGCGCATCCGACCACCTGTCGCAAAGGGAGGAGAGGAGGGACCGTCATACGGATATCGTATGCTTACCTGTCACTTGAACGTGCGTTGGGCTCCACATTTTGTGACTTCCTGAGGCTTCCTTTTGCTGCTGGCAAGGCGAAATCCTAAGCGCTCGCTGTCCCTGCCGTTGCACTCGTCGATTCTTTGCTCGACGATTACGACGAGGCTTTCGCGAGGCTTTCGCGAGGCGCGACGTGCTACGAAGGAAACGTTCGCATCACGCGGCCCCGTGTCTCGCGCACTGGTCAACCGCCTCGCTCACCTCGCGTCCGCTCGACTTCGCGCACTCCGAGAATCGGGAATCACACGTCCAGTCACGTCGGTAACCGAACATTCGCTCACATCGCTCGCCTCGCGACGTCGCGACGAATGCACTTGGCCAGTCCGCACTCTGCCAGTGTGTGCCGTGTATGCGCCGTGCTAGAAATGCCAGAACGTATCGTGGCGCGCAGCCGCGCCTTCGAACAACCGCTATGTGCGCTATGTGCGTTGCTTTGCTGCGCAACGCGCCGTGCGATCGTTGCGCCAGGTGCGGGCTGAACGGGACTAATTGCAGGCTACCTTGGGTGCGTTCCGAATTGCGCATGAAGCGCAAGATGCATTGGTCGCGTTTAGCAGACTCAACGGCTGCGGAGCAGATTCGTGTTGCTATTGGTTGATCTAAAGGAATACACCAATAGCAATGAGCACTCACGGAACCGCTCCGCAACAGTCGAGTCTGTTGAACGCAACCATTATTTGTCATTTATTGTTGCTCACTGAATAATAGAGACGGATACAATAATGCATCATGAGCTTCATGCGTAATTTAGAACGCACTCCTTCACGATGCTTTGCAGTGCCGACAGCCCGCAAAAAATTGAGTTTTTAAATTCTAGTAAAATTTATTGGCTGCGATCAGCAGAACAGTTTACAAGTGTTGTAAAATTTTAATAATTTGTTTATACATTTAAATCTAGTGAGAAACTAAAAGTAGGAATCATATTAATTAAAGACTCCATTACGACAATTGCAGCTATTACGTTATTTTTTAATATAAAATGAACATACTTTTTAATTAAATTAAATCTTATAATATAATTATGACATTTCTCCATGGATTAGATTTAGCCTTGAATATCCAATGTATCAAAAGAAGATCGAGAATGCATCAAAACAAATATAGCATTAAAATATACACGTATATTAATTTTAATTGCATAATAGCTTCGGCCTTCATATACTTGCAGATTTCTCATTCATCTCTTATACGTCTGATTAACCATATCCTGAACGAAGTTATAATTAACCTATTCGCAGCCCGCGATCGATCGTCGCATTGATAAGGATAAGAACTATGCTGCCACAATCATGAGAAACGCTTCGTAACGATAACTATAGCGTGTAACTTCAGCATAAGCGATACGAATAATTAAATAGAAATAAACGATAAATGTTATGACTTTATAAAATATCTAATCAAAATTATATCACAAATGGCACATATATGACTTCTGTTGGCTCAGTAAAAGAAAAAAAATTTGAATAGAAAAAATAACTTGTCTAAAATATGCGTCACGTAAACGTATTCTATATAGAATATATTATAGAATTCTATATAGAATTAATACTACAGAATTAATACTATACTATATAGAATTCTATATAGAATTAATACATATTCACTTCCATTGCATTATCTTTCAATATTAAAATGTATTATGTTAAAATAGTTTAGAGAAAATTAATGTAAACATATTGGAAAAGCACCGTTCGGATACCATCACCAAGAAAGAGAAATTATATAATAAAGTTATTAATACTGAACATTAGAAAGAAACATACTATAACGAACCTGAAGTCATATCACAGGAATACAATGTGTATAACTTTTATAATAAACGTACATAAAAATGAATAAATATATTCTTCTTTTACACATCATTTATGCTTCTTTCTAACGTTTGGTATTAAGAAATTTGTTATGATTTCTCTTTCTTGGTAATGGTATTCGAACGGTATTTTTCCAGTATGTCTACATTGATGTACTTTATTATTACGACATTCCACGCGATTGCCCGCAAAGATTGCTAAAGAACGGAAGTGGCGACGTGATTGCTTTTCATTTAATATTAACATTAAGATGAGGCTCTGCGTAAAAGCACCAGCTTCCTATTTGATTCGTTGACATCCCAGGTTCGATCTTTGACGCTTAAATGCACCTCACACAAAGGAATTCCTTTTATTACGCGATAGCGCGCCTACTTTTATTGTGGTGCTATTTTATTGTTAGTTTGCGAGTTTTATAACTCGTCTTTTATCGTGATGTAATCGTGTCCTTAATCGACAGTGTTACGTCGTTGTGATTGCATCACGCCTCTGCATTACAATTATCATGCGACTCAATTGTCTGCGTTTCGCGGAAAAAAGTGCCGAATCAACGTACTTATTGAATGCGCGTCGGTAATTAGTCGTAATGTAAATTGGAAGAAACGTGATTGCGTTCAAAATATGTTATTGCGTTTCAGTAAGGGCAAGACTAAGATGTCAGTCAACATTGTGGAAAACAATTAAAATTGTGTCATATATAAAATAAAATTACGAGAGATATTCAAAACAACCATATAGTGTCAAAATATAAGAAAACTAGTATAAAAATAGTACAATGAAATAAAATAATTTTAGGTTCTTTGATTTTATTTGTTTATTTTTAAAAATTGTGTCGCGTTGGAATGCGTTCTCAAATTATTGAAATTTCTGAAAATTTAATCTAAAGCACATATATGTGAGAATTATAGATTTTCAATACTATGTCGCATTATTTGTATACTTTTTGCATTTAGTATATGTAAATTTGTTTTCTTCCTCTCCAACTTCAGAATAAAAAATTTATCTCGTTTTAAATGCAATAAAGATTTTGTAAAAATGTCAAGAAACGCAAACAGACCTACTGTCAGTATACATTCAGAAAATACTTACTTTTGGATAAGTAACCGACGCGCATGAACGTAGCGCCTGCGCGTAGAGCTTCGCGCAGCTGCCGCGAGAGGTTAATCGTCGAGCGCCGGCATGACAGTCCTCGAACCTCGACGTTCACATCGCGAAGTCGTGGTTCACATATAGGTAATATGGACGTTCACTGCTGACTTTCCTGCACAGAACATATACTCATTCCTGTCAGAGAGAAACCTGAGAGAGGACATGACGGCCTAAAACCTGTAACCGCAAAATGCTGCCGCGCACTACTGCCCTCTGAAGAAGTGGATGTGAACTACACAACAATATCCATCTTTTTACGGCACTCCTGGTGGAAATAAATCGCTGAAATCGTTAAAATAACTTAAATCTATCAAATTAATGAAGATTTTAACGGTTACAGTGATTTATTTCCATCAGGAGTGCCGCAAAAAGATGGATATTGTTGTGTAGTTTACACCTACTTCTTCAGAGGGCAGTAGTGCGCGGCAGCATTTTGCGGTGTTGCAGCGGTGTATTTTCTGCTCCGGTATCTCGTTTCGTTCATCAGCGCATTGTTCGAATTTCTTTTCGTATTTGAGGGACACGTCGCTAAACCATAATCTCCAAGTGACATACATAAGTTGCGTATATATACGTGTTAAATGAATTTTTGAATGGATTAATGTGTGAAGTGCCGACCTGTGCGATTCAAATGCAAAATGGACAAGAACTGATTCTTTCTCTGTACTCCTCCTCGAGTGTTTGAGAAGCACATCGATAGACTACAATTTCCGAGTGACGTACGTAAATTGCGTATGTATGTGTTAAATGAACTATCTGCGATGAATAATTAATTCGTGAAGTGCGACGTAGCGCGAAAAAGCGAGTGGAGCACAAATTCAAATTTTCAGTCGAGACTCGAGACAGTCGATCGTCAAGTAAACTGACTGATCTTCTTCTGGCTAGAAGAGAAGAGGTATTCAATTCAACGGGCTATTCAAATACGCGAAGGATGCAATTAATGAATAACCGGAAGGAAAACGAAGAAGAGAACGAAAAATTCATAAAAAAAAATCGTAAGTAATTTTCGCAGCGCAGTTAGCGCTGGTTAGCGCGTAACGGCCGTATACGGAGGGAATCGGGTCGATTCGGCGCTCGTCGGCAGTCGTCGAAACGGCCGCGGCGGCACAGCCAGGTACGGTAGGCGGCGGCAGTTCGGCTCCGTTCGGCACTGTTCGTCACTCCTAGCGTTCGCGCCTGCTGGCCGAGTAATCGGAGTAAACGTAGTCAACTTCGCATCACTTCGTAGTTCGCATACGTCCTATACGTACTTTGGTCCGTCGTTCGAACGTGCGCGCGTGTCTCTTCGTTTGTCCTGTTACCTATTACCTCGCGGTGTTTCTCTCGTCTCGATTCGCGCGTGACTCGCGTTTCGCGCGTTCCTCCAGTGCGCGGTGTGGTGGTGTTCCGGCAGTGGATCCGGCGAAAGATTCTTGCACGTTAGTCCTTCTTGTCTCGTCGAAAGTGAGACCGACGTGACGTGATGTCTTCCTTCAAGGACGATAAAGCGCCGTGTGCCCGACTCTGCCACATCGTCAAGTGGGATGATTTCAATGGTTACGGCTTCAATCTGCACGCGCAGAAGGGCAAGAACGGTCAGTTTATCGGCAAGGTGGACGAGGGCTCGCCGAGCTTGGCAGCCGGTCTGCGCCAGGGCGATCGGATAGTCGAGGTTAACGAGATCGACATCGCGAACGAAACTCACAATCAAGTGGTCGAGCGTATCAAGGCGTTCGCCAATGAGACTAAGCTGCTAGTGGTTGACCAGGAGGCCGATGATTACTTCAGGGAAAACAACATCGTCATCAAGGGTACTATGTCAAACATCAAAGTGATCAAAACGCCGGAGAGAAATCCCAACATCGTGGAGGAGCATAATGAAGATGGCTCCGTTGACGAGGTAAGTGCGTTTCCTTTCTTTTTTTTTCCTTTTTCGTCTTGTTATCATCGACTTTGGGCGTCCCAAATGTGCGATTTGTCGTGTATCGAATTTTTAAACTTTTTATAGAAATTTAGATTTAGAGATAGACTCGTATTTTTTTTTTTTATAAAGCCGAATTTTACATGTATGGGTGAATTACTGAGATCTAAGGAAATGAAGCATCACACCTCGCATTCTCAATCCCCTACTCTACCTTCTAGTAGTGGCACTGTTTAACCCTTGGCAGAGACTGGGTAACGCCCCCGGCTAAAACCCCAGCCGGAAGTCAAGGGAACAGAACGAGTAGGGGATCCAACCCCTCTAGGGAGGGTTGGACGTAAGGCTAACGACCTTACTCCGTAAAATAAGTGACGTTACGGAACCACAGAATAGGCTTCGGAAGGATGGATTTAACATAAGACGACATGGAGCGAGTAAACAGATAAGGTTAAGATAATAGCAATTTGGAGCATCAGAACTATGTTAGGAAAATTGTATGCTGGTAGGAAACGGATAGGAATGAACGATGTACACAAGAACCTGGAAGCAATGAACATTAAAGAATGAATGGAAAAGATGAGGAATAAGGAGCAATATTGTGACGGAAGCTCGAGCTCACCTTGAGCTGTAGCGCCGAATGGAATGGAATGGAAGTGAATTGCTGATCCTTTGTTTTAATTGAAATCCGCGACTGACATACACAATGTTGAAAAATAAGTTATTTTTACTTTTGATGCATATTTTTCTTTTTAGTTCACTTGTGGTTTAGATTTAATGTGATGATAATGTAAAAATTGTATTTTTCTAGCCATGATTAATTGCTTGACTGATGGTTCGGTAATGGTAACAACTTTAAATTACTATAAAATTATCAATTTAGTGATAACACACCATAGCTAGAAAAATATAATTTTTACATTATCATTGGATTAAGTCTAATCACAAGTTAATCAAAAAATGAGAACTGACTGTACCATATCTTTTCCATTATACATGTCCTGAATAATTCAATACATGTTTTAACTTAATTTTATTATGATTGATTAATTAATTTTTACATAAATAATCTGTTGTCGCAAAGTATATGTGCGTAATGGTGAATAAATTATTTCTTTTCTAATAATGCATATAGGTATAAATGGAAAATTGGTATTCTTAGAATAATTTAAGAGCCTTTCTCGAGAGATAGTTATTAATAAGAAACGGTTATTCGGAATAAACAGCTATGTTTTGGTACAAATTACCATTTGAATTCGAATCGTAAGAGTATTGTTCGAATTGTAAGAGTAACATGGCATCGTATGACTATCTTGCAAAGCGCCGATGATTTTTTTTTTGAATAGATATAAATTAATATTCATTCGGGCACGCGGAACTAATGTAAAAAGTGCTTTTTCTAGTTACATCTATTATAATTTTGAGTGAGATAACTAGAGTATTCTGTTTAATATGATTAGAATTTTTTGGGTTTATTTTCGATGTATTCTAGTCTCAGTGTAGATAATATTTCATTCTTATCTCACAAATCAATCCAGAAGATTTACAATGGTAAAGAATAAAAGACTAATGTCCAACTTCTTCACTTTCAGATAAATTGCGGATAACTTTATCTAGGGGATATCTCCATTGTATTCTGGCAGACGCTCCAAGATAAAGAAGTCTAGAGAATTCTAAAGATTAAGATATTAGGCAAAAAAGACTTTTCTTCTTATCTCTGATAACAATTAGATATAAACTAAAAATTTTCTCATAAAAATTTGTTTTTTATATTTTTTCTTTAACTCTATATACTGAGAAAAATTTCTGGTTGAAGATAAACAGACCAAAATTTAATCATATCAATTAGAATTCTAGTTATATTTCAACTAGGATTATAATACATAGATTTAAGTAGAAGAATTCTGGTTTGTCCATTTTCAATCAGAATGCCGATTAATACAATCAGACTTTTATCCCAGTAATGTAGTGAAAATGTGTGAAATATTTCAAGTAAATTAAAGAGGTAAAAAGAGAGAGGAGAAAAGTGGTTAGCGCATGTTAAGGTAAACACATCGGTTGATCGGCATTTTCTTCGGCCGCGAAAGTCCCGGGAGACGACGCGCCCGTACCAAAGGAATCCGTGGCATTCGCGTGGAATTTATCCGAGTCGCGCTACGGGTCCACCTGTTGAATTCGTTGTCGCAGCAGCAGCAGCAGCTGCTACTACTACTCTCGTGTTTACGTCCACGATAGAAAGTGTCTAGCACGTAGCGACGCGTGTAATATCTGAATACATCGCTATCGAATATCGACGATAATTTTAGCAACTATATATAAATGTTTGGTATGCATAACCATTATTGTTGATATTTGATTTAAAACTTTTTAAATTAAAAATAAGAATGCTTTATATATTATAATAATTTTTTATTTCAATCAAATTTTATTTGTTCTATTCTAATTAAATTCTGATTAGAATACAATTTTTTAATAAAAAAGTAAGAAAGTTTTTATAAGGCATATATTAACGAATTAATAGTTGTTTATATCTAAACATTTTTCTCAGTATAATAATACAACTCATATTGCGATATTAAGCGGATCTGTGAAGTTAACACGACATTGTATTAATATAAAAAAACTGCAGTTCTAATAACTGTAATGTTAATTTTGGTTTTTAGTGTAAAAAATGCGGAACTGTTCTTTATTTTGACAAGGAACTATAGAACTATGAAAAGTACTACTATTACTATATTTTTTTATATTAATAAAGAGTGACATACTACCTCCAAATGGGTGTATTCAGTTAGCACCCCAACTATAGTACTCAGGAGTTCTGATTAGAGTTCCCACTTCCTTTTGACGAGACGAAGAGTTCCCTATAGTTAATAATAAGAGTTCCGCTTAATAAACATTAAAAATTTTTTTAAATTAGGGTGCTAACTTTTTATCGAATTTCGAGGTGGAATAGTTCTGAGCGGCTTAATAGCTTCAATTTGCGATTGCCTAGAGTTCCTGATACTTATGTAAAAAAATTTTCGAATATTAAAAAAAAAATTAAAAATTTTTGAAAAATTAATTTTTAGATACAATAGTTCTGATGATAATTCCTGCTTCTTTTTGACGATACGAAGAGTTCTCTATGATTTTTAATGGCTTATGCGCTAATAATAATTTTTTAATAATTTTTTAAAAATGGGGTGCTAAGTTTTTAATGAAATTCATGGTCGCATAGTTCTGATCAGCTTAACAGGATTATTTTGTGAATACCTAGAGTTCTTGATACATAAAAAACATTTTTGAAGAATAATAAAATTTTTTTAAAATAGTAGAAATTTTTGAAACATGATCTTACAAATGTAACAAATGATGCTATATCTTACAAATCGTTGGTCCAATCGCTTTTTCACCTGATAGTTTTTGATAGAACTCGTCGAGAACTATAAGAAACGCTACTCAGAACTACTCGGTACTCTCAAAAAATTTTCCGACGTGGGACTTGGAAAAAAATTTTAGGTCAAAAATTTTTTGAGAGTACCGAGTAGTTCTGTTCGGAGTTCTGGACAGTTCTCGGCGAGTTCTGTCGAAAAGTATCAGGGCTGAAAGCGATTAGACAACGGTTTCTGAGATATACTCTAAAAATTTTTGATTTTCTGACAAATGTCATTGTATCTTGGAAACCGTTGGTTCAATCGCTTTTGTATCGCATAGTCTTCGATAGGACTCGTCGAGAACTATAAGAAACGCTACTAAGAACTATTCGGTACTCTCAAAAAATTTTTCAAAGATTTCTACTATTTTTTTAAAATTTTATTATTCTTCAAAAATGTTTTTTATGTATCAAGAACTCTAGGTATTCACAAAATAGTCCTGTTAAGCTGATCAGAACTATGCGACCTTGAATTTCGTTAAAAACTTAGCACCCCATTTTTAAAAAATTATTAAAAAATGATTATTAAGCGCATATGTCATTAAAAATCATAGAGAACTCTTCGTATCGTCAAAAAGAAGCAGGAATTATCATCAAAACTATTGTATCTAAAAATTAATTTTTCAATAATTTTTAATTTTTTTTTTAATATTCGAAAATTTTTTTACATATCAGGAACTCTAGGCAATCGCAAATTGAAGCTATTAAGCCGCTCAGAACTATTCCATCTCGAAATTCGATAAAAAGTTAGTTCCCCATTTAAAAAAAATTTTTTTTTAATGTTTATTGAGCGGAACTCTTGTTATTAACTATAGGGAACTCTTCGTCTCGTCAAAAGGAAGTGGGAACTCTAATCAGAACTCCTGAGTACTATAGTTGGGGTGCTAACTTAACACATCCCCTCCAAATCTATATTAAGGCACGAATTATTTTATTTTTACTAATATTAGAAAATCTATAAATTTATTTTGGTATTTATTTTATTGTAGATATAAATATATTTATATAAAATCGATTTTGCTGAAGTATTTAAAAAGTTAGGTAGATATAGATTTTAAAATTATTTTGTTCATAGACTATTGATTATATAGGAAGTTCAACCGTGATAAGAAATGCTGCAAAAAGTTTTGACCTTCTAGCAGTATCTTATATAATTATTTTGATGAGATTCAAATAAAATTATTTTCAAATCTATATTTAACTAAATTTTTAAATACTTCAGCAAATTCAGTTTTCCCGTATACATTCATTTTATTTTGGTATACATTATGCTGATAATTATTCGTTAAACAACGCGTGTTCACCTTTATTTTTTATGTCGTAGCAAACAACATTCAGGTTTTGTAGCGTAGCTTTTATAAAATGTAAACAGGTGCACACTATTGAATTTGAACACGCACGTCATCGTGTCATAATTAGTTATTTCTCTTCGGAACAGTCTTGCCATCGCTCTGTTCTTTTATAGTCATTTCGATGATCGATGTGTTGCAGTAAAAGTAACTGGAATAGAAATTCGATGTATAGTAAGCTACAAAAGAGATCTGTTCTGGCTTTCTCCTTACGATATGAA